GAGTAAGTAACTCATAACTTTAGAGTAAGTAACTCATATCTTTAGAGTAAGTAACTCATAACTTTAGAGTAAGTAACTCATAACTGGATCAATTCATTATATAGTCGTAACTTTATGCAATATTACCACTAATGCTGGTTATCAGTAGTATTATGGTGAACTGGACCTTACGTAATCTCTGAGGGACAGGGAACCCGGCCCTAATAACAATAAATAACAGTAACACCCGCAGTAACCTGAAATGGGATGCAGACTGCTCCAACCTCGACCCAGCTGCCGCCAAGCATGTTGAAGATAAGATAGCCGGCAGCAAGGTTTACCTCATCGGCCTCACTTATTGTGGATGGTGTACAAGAGCCAAAAGTGTCATCCAGAAAATGGGTTAGTTTCAACTTTCACTGTTATATGTTATAAATATAACTATAAGATCTCATTAAACTTCTATTTAAACTTCTCATTAAAATTCAGCTTTACTTGATGAATGGACAAATGTTTTGATTTGGCGCGATTGAGCTATAAAGATATCATATATATTTGATTAACACCTAAAATACGCAGGATTTGACGAGAGTGATATTGAGGTAGATGTAACACCTAAAATACGCAGGATTTGACGAGAGTGATATTGAGGTAGATGTAACACCTAAAATACGCAGGATTTGACGAGAGTGATATTGAGGTAGATGTAACACTTAAAATACGCAGGATTTGACGAGAGTGATATTGAGGTAGATGTAACACCTAAAATACGCAGGATTTGACGAGAGTGATATTGAGGTAGATGTAACACTTAAAATACGCAGGATTTGACGAGAGTGATATTGAGGTAGATGTAACACCTAAAATACGCAGGATTTGACGAGAGTGATATTGAGGTAGATGTAACACTTAAAATACGCAGGATTTGACGAGAGTGATATTGAGGTAGATGAACTGGACACTATGGACAACAAGATGGAAATTATAAACTACGCTTACTGCAAGTACAGCCAGATGAAAACAGTTCCTCAAATCTTCATCAACAAGAAGGTATTATCAGCAACATGATTAGCCTTGTGCAAACAAGAAGGTCGGTACCAAATAACCAACAATCTCTTAGATACTTGCTGCTTAGTAAATTATAAAGAACAAACAATTGGAGAGGGTCTGAAAACATACAATTGGTAAGACAGGCCATTTGTTTCAGAAGCTTTTGAATAACTTTTGTTGTACATGAATTGATAAGACAGGCCATTTGTTTCAGCTTTTGAATAACTTGTGTTGTACATGAATTGATAAGACAGGCCATTTGTTTGCTTTTGAATAACTTGATCGTCTCCTAGCTCCCTCCTCCCTCAGTTTGTAGGAGGCTACACTGAGGCCAGACACTATTACTATACTGGACAGGGGGTCAGGGCTGCCTACAAAACTGGAGCCATCCCAGGATACTACTTGTAAGTACTCTCTCCAGTTAACTAAGGATACTACCTGTAAGTACTCTCTCCAGTTAACTAAGGATACTACCTGTAAGTACTCTCTCCAGTTAACTAAGGATACTTCCTGTAAGTACTCTCTCCAGTTAACTAAGGATACTACCTGTAAGTACTCTCTCCAGTTAACTAAGGATACTTCCTGTAAGTACTCTCTCCAGTTAACTAAGGATACTACCTGTAAGTACTCTCTCCAGTTAACTAAGGATACTACCTGTAAGTACTCTCTCCAGTTAACTAAGGATACTACCTGTAAGTACTCTCTCCAGTTAACTAAGGATACTTCCTGTAAGTACTCTCTCCAGTTAACTAAGGATACTACCTGTAAGTACTCTCTCCAGTTAACTAAGGATACTACCTGTAAGTACTCTCTCCAGTTAACTAAGGATACTACCTGTAAGTACTCTCTCCAGTTAACTAAGGATACTACCTGTAAGTACTCTCTCCAGTTAACTAAGGATACTACCTGTAAGTACTCTCTCCAGTTAACTAAGGATACTACCTGTAAGTACACTCTCCAGTTAACTAAAGATACTACCTGTAAGTACTCTCTCCAGTTAACTAATTAATTAGTCAGTCTCCAATTAATATTCAACAACTAATAAGTTAACTTATTAATTAGTTAATTAGTTAGTCTCCAGTTAGTCAACAGCTAATCAGTAATCATGACTCATTTGGTGATTTCTAATAATTGTACACTTTTTCTAGTTACCTGCAACAGATAAAACAAGCAGCTATAGACTTTGTGGACGAGGGAACTGCAAGATCAAAGGGAAAGAAATACTTTGTTCTCTCCAAGACAAGATGCCCTCACTGTTTCAATGCTAAAAACTGCCTCAAAGAAGTCGGTTAGTAAAGTTAGCTTGGTGCATATAGCGGGATTTTATCTTATTCTTAGGGATCGTTTAAATATTAAGTAAAACAAATATAACCTCCCCTCTCCGTATTTAAGTTTTAAATTAACTATTTTGTAGAAATTAAATTCCTTAAAATTAGGCGGAAGTTTCATATCCATCATGTGTAAAAACCATTTCAATAAATAGTGACATTGCGTGACTGCGTGCAGGAGTTACAGAAGAAGATATTGAGCTGTTCGAGATAAACGACTTTTACACTCACGACGAGATCAAGAAGTACAAGGGGAGAATAGCCGAGACTACCTACACTCCCTACCTCGCATTTGACGGCAAGGTAAGAAACCGATACTGACTGCATCAGTAATGATGTAATGACCGGTAATGAGCGCTTCCCAAACACACAAGGATATATCTTGTGTTCTTGGCTTGTATATATGAAACATTTGACACGGAGTTGTGGAGTGAGCTATGTGCCTCGCCGGGCTAAAGTAGTGAATGTCCTTGCTGTACGGCAAGTTAAACAAGGAACTGAAACTACTAGGTTCCGTACAGGCTCAACTCTATACCCATGTCAATATGTTCGTATGTAAGCCTATTGATTATATATATATATATATATGTAATACGGTTTCATACTGCTTTCAGGTTAAACTTAAAATTTGGAAATTATTAGTTTAGGTGCGTAGAGTGTTCGAGCATATACTTATAGACTGTTCTATCATACACACTACAGTACTATGCAGTACATATTGTGTAATATGGGGTGAAAATATGCAATATGAAGAAAATTTGTGGTGAATATGCGAAGAATAAAAAGGCAAATTTAAAATTCTGGTCAGCTCCAACTAAAACACTACTTTCAGACTTTGTACAATCACGAAGAGCTTGTAAAGGCGTCAGGCTGCTCCCCCCTTCACTACGGCACTGACTGAAGAAAACAGCTTGTCAATATAGATTTTAATTTTAATTTAATCTAAATTTTGATTTTATTTATATATCGGTCTACTGTAACTGATTTTCGTCCTAAAAACTGTATTATGGTCATGGAGTGGGAATACTGTAACTAGACTTGTATTAATATATAACTCTCAATTTAATTCAATTTAATTTAAATTTATAGCTCGGAATCAGATCATCACAGTGCTGGCAAGCACGACCGTTGCATTTATTGTGGGTATACTATGTACCCCATTTATTATTATACCCCCTTTACTATTATACCCCCTTTGGTACACGTTACAAGCCTCTTTCGTGCACGCGAAGCGTGCACTCCGGCCGGAGGCGGCGGCCGAAGGCCGCCGCCTCCGGCAGGAGTTTTTCAGGCATTAAGACTCATCGGAAGTCGATCAGCAGATTTATTTTTAGTTCAAAACATTCTAATTTGATGTCAAAGATGACAGGAATAAAAAATAGTTATGTTGAGATTTTTAAGAAATTTGCATAAAATACTCGCCAGCACTGTTATACGAAATTCGGTAAAAAACCCAAAATCGCCATATTCAGGTGCCTTAAAACCATGTTAAAATTGAGTTAGAGATCTGAAATTTTTCAGGGCGTCTAGACGTTGCCCAAATCGACTGCAAAAAAAGTTTCAGGTTTCAGGAGCATCGGGAAATGGGTTTTCTAGAACCCCTGTTTTACGATAGATTGTCGTGATACATATATATATAATTATATAATTCGAACAATTGAAACAAATCAAATTGGCGGGCAACGATCCGTTTCATGATATGTATAAAGACAATACCAATCATCAGTGCCAAATAGAATAATGAATTGTAGCGCTATGACATGTTGCTCCTTTATAAAATAATTTTTATCGATCATGAAACATTTTCAAAATTATCAAAATTTACAAAATTTCCAAAAAAAACAGTTTATTGTGTCCGTCCTAGGCTATCCATTATCGGTATGAAATCTTTTATCTAGATAAACAGATAAAAATTTAGGTTTTATCTAGATAAAACCGATAAAACCGATAATTTTTCTGCTGAAGGCCAAAGCCAAAATGTTTTCCAAATTTCACAAAAACTGATTGTCGACTTTTATTACTGTTTACCAGTAATCTTGCTAAAGTACAACTTCCTTTCTTTTGAAAATATTAGAGCATCAGTTTTCTTCTCCGGGGAACAATAGTGTACCAGTTCTCTTCAAAACAGTAGACCAACGGTTTGTCTTCTCCTAAGAACAGTAGTGTACCAGTTCTCTTCAAAACAGTAGATCACCGGTTTCCTTCTCCTAAAAACAGTAGTGTACCAGTTCTCTTCAAAACAGTAGACCAAGGGTTTCCTTCTCCTGAGAACAGTAACGCACTAGTTCTCTTCAAAACAGTAGACCACCGGTTTCCTTCTCCTGAGAACAGTGACGCACTAGTTCTCTTCAAAACAGTAGACCACCGGTTTCCTTCTCCTGAAAACAGTAGTGCAACAGTTCTCTTCAAAACAGTAGACCACTGGTATCCTTCTCCTGAGAACAGTAACGCACTAGTTCTCTTCAAAACATTAGACCACCGGTTTCCTTCTCCTGAGAACAGTAACGCACTAGTTCTCTTCAAAACAGTAGACCACCGGTTTCCTTCTCCTGAGAACAGTAGTGCACCAGTTCTTTTCAAAACAGTAGACCAAGGGTTTCCTTCTCCTGAGAACAGTAACGCACTAGTTCTCTTCAAAACAGTAGACCACCGGTTTCCTTCTCCTGAGAACAGTAACGCACTAGTTCTCTTCAAAACAGTAGATCACCGGTTTCCTTCTCCTGAGAACAGTAGTGCACCAGTTCTCTTCAAAACATTAGACCACCGGTTTCCTTCTCCTGAGAACAGTAGTGCACCAGTTCTCTTCAAAACAGTAGACCACCGGTTTCTTTCTCCTGAGAACAGTAGTGCACCAGTTCTCTTCAAAACATTAGACCACCGGTTTCCTTCTCCTGAGAACAGTAGTGCACCAGTTCTCTTCAAAACAGTAAACCACCGGTATCCTTCTCTTGAGAACAGTAGTGCAACAAATACCAATTCTCCTCGAAACAGTAAAACATTTAAAGTGATTCAGTGAACCGTTTCCTTATCCTGTGGATAACTTGGAGCAACAGATTCCTTCTCCTGAAGACAATGTTTCACGCCTAGAACACTTACGGAATTTAATTGAGTGCCCTGCCGCCTGCCGGTATTTTTGACTCTTGTTAACAGTAACATGCTCGTTCCTGTCTCCAGAATGGTTGTAAGGTAGAACGCCAGCACCCTAGCCTCAAGATAACAATGTCAATAACTTTCTCTAGACTTCTACAGTTCTACAGTTCTACAGTTCCATAGGTATACAAATGTAAATAAACCTCTTAAGCTCACATTTAAGTAAACTACCTCTTCTATCATACTATAAAACGTTTGGGACTGTTTCTTGGATTACTTGGGAAGGCAAAAAACACTAATATTTCTTTAAAATTTTAGTAGTTTTTTCGGTAATTTCTAGTGAATTTTTATACCGATAAAAACATGTTTTATCTAGATAAACAGATAACCTTTTTTAACGAATTATCGGAGATAATTATCGGTAACGATTATCGGAGTGGATAGCCTAGTCCGTTCCAATTTTAAAATTGTCTATGAAGTAAGGTAGTAAGATATCTTTGGCTTTTAAAGTTGTAAACTGCGTTGGCCTTCGTGTAGTGGTAGAGGAAAATTCTTTACTGAGTTCCGTGAAGCTGGTAGAATTAGGATCCGTATTCTACCAGCTTCACGGAATCAGTAAAGAATTTTCCTCTACCACTACACGAAGGCCAACGCAGTTTACAACTTTAAAAGCCAAAGATATCTTACTACCTTACTTCATAGACAATTTTAAAATTGGGACGGACACAATAAACTGTTTTTTTGGAAATTTTGTAAATTTTGATAATTTTGAAAATGTTTCATGATCGATAAAAATTATTTTATAAAGGAGCAACATGTCATAGCGCTACAATTCATTATTCTATTTGGCACTGATGATTGGTATTGTTTTTATACATATCATGAAACGGATCGTTTGCCCGCCAATTTGATTTGTTTCAATTGTTCGAATTATAATGCTCCTGCTTAACTGCAGTCGAGCACTCTCTTTGGGAAACCAAACAACAACTATTTATTATATAATTATATATATATTCAGGAATAGACGCTTTGCCAGTCAATTGTAGCCTGTATTTAATTGTCCATAGATTCAAAAGTATAAAAGGTACAGCCATTTCCTACCACAGGTCTTGAAAATAATTGTTTACACTTTAGTTTACATTGTATAAACAAATTATTTGACGTCATGAACACCCCTTGATGACGTCATCAAGTTAACCGTTTTTTAAACTTGATTTTTGACAAAGTAATAACTTTTAAAAATGATTTTACAACATTAAAAAGTAATTGTATTCAAAATCTGAGGAAATTTTCATCTTAGATAAGTGTTCAAGCATTCTGAAAATCTACCGGAAAGTTTTTCTAGCTTGCTCCTTCATAAAGATATTTGTCATTGAAGTTTGTGCTTTTTTGAAGAATTATTTTATAAAAACGTCAATTTTGCGATTTAGTATTCTCTGGTGTTGGGCCATGCCTTGGGTTTTGGAGCTCAGTTCTGCTTCCTATAGGTATAAATTGTGCATAAGGCTAGTTTTAAAGTTGAAAATCGAAAAGTTGCACACGTGGGGACACGCCCAAATTGATAGAAAATTGCTAAAATCACTGATAATTGCTGTTTTCGTCATTTTCTGTCAACTTTAGAGTGCCGTTGTGATTACAGTTCTTCTTGAAATACTTTGAAACTTTGCATGCTTATCAAGCTATATATAAAACAATTACATGCAAAAATTTACGGCGATTCAATATCGGATGCGCACGCAACGTCCGCTCAAAGTTTGCACGTGCGAAAGGTGAGAATTTTGCTCATTCGTGATTTCCAACAAATTCTGCTTTGCCACGACAGTTTAATGTCATTATATATGAATTTAATGCCAACTTGAATGAGTATTAAGTGGCATATTCAGTCAGTGATCGACCGATATGCTTACCTAAACACAAGGAAATGTTTTTAAAGGAAAAATTTCGAAATCGTTGAAACTTCCTCCTTATTAATGAAGATATCAGTTTATATTTCGACTTTATAAAGTACCCAGGCATTATAATCAAAAAGAGATGATATTTTACCAAAACCCATAATCATGGGTAGAGTGGACCGCTGCCAGTGTCTCTCTTTCCAAAACAAAAGGAAATGATATTAATTTGATTGACCGTTCTCAAATGCAAAATGATACCGAGAATGAAATCGGTCGCTCGCTTTTCCCATTCATTTACAATTGTAATAGATTAAGAAGAACTACCCAAAGGCAGCTGTACTCGGCAATAAAGATTCAATAAACTTCAGCTAATTCAATAAGTAATAACTACCACCCTTACCCCGAAATACTAGGTATCGACCCGAACGCAACCCAAAGAGATTTTTACAGCATCTGATTGATGTAATCAATCGAAACTTATTCATTATTACAATTCGTAAGCCGTGAATGAATGGGAAAAGCGAGCGACCGATTTCATTCTCGGTATCATTTTGCATTTGAGAACGGTCAATCAAATTAATATCATTTCCTTTTGTTTTGGAAAGAGAGACACTGGCAGCGGTCCACTCTACCCATGATTATGGGTTTTGGTAAAATAACAAATAGTATAAAATATATCTCGTGATATCAAATCTGCTAAGGGACCATCTACTTAGGCCGTCTAGGAGTAGGACCAAGGACGTCCGGCAAATAGGGAGGGGGTGGCCGTGGTTTTGGAATTTCGGACAAATTCGGACAGGGGGAGGGGGGTTTCTAAAAATCCGAACGTCTGGAAATTTTGGCAGAATTAACGAAAAATTTCCATTAATTTCAACTCTTTGACACTAATTACTCAATGAACTTGAGTTGGTTTTATTTGTACTCTTAAAAGTAGCTGGAAATCCGGACGTCCGGGGGAGGGGTGGTTTTGAAAATTCGGACATACCCGGGTCCCGGACAGGGGGAGGGGTCAGGGGGTGGTCTGAAAATCTGCGAATTTGGCGGACGTCTTAAGTAGATGGCCCCTAAAATGTAGAAATTTTTTAAATATTTGCAATAATAAAATGTAAAACGTTGACGCACGTTGCAATCCATTGCAACGTTCAACGTTGAATGCGCGAAATTTAAGGAATGTGCTTTTTCAGAGATATAAATCATGATCGCTCGCAAGAACAAAAAGTTCATTGCTCCTAGCCTTGAGTCATAATAGTAATAAGACTACTGTTGACTACTGTTGACTACTGTTAGTGTTGAGTGTTGAGTGTGGACTGTTGCTGTCCGTATTTCACTTGGTGAGTTAGCTCTCCGTATCGCTCATAGTCTCACATGGTGAGTCTCTTAAAGGTGATCAGTTATATTTTTAGTCCATTCAACTCTTTCAAACTGTCCTGAAAAAAGTTACTGTAAATTAGAGACTGTTAAAACTCAACCTCGCACGTACAATGTTACCTGGGGACCCCAGGCTATTATGTTCATAACTAGAGATTCGGTCGAATGACAGGCTGAGCGCCGCCCAGTAAGACTAAGACCCCAGTGGCAGTATGAGTAAGTATAACTATAATGGTGTAAACTTACATCAACATGTTGTTGTTGAGTTGGTCTATAAAAGTATAAACTATAAAGCATAAAGGGAAATGAAGATCTCTTGCGAGAATTAACTTACAATATTGTCTAATTGGTCTTCCGTGAATGTAATATTACTATTTATTATAGTGAGGATAAAAGGAAACTGTACTGTCTTAGATTAGATTAGATTAGATTAGATTAGATTAGATTAGATTAGATTAGATTAGATTAGATTAGATTAGATTAGATTAGATTAGCATCGTTAACTTAGCAATGAATACCTCGTCAATAAACAAATGCTCCTCGGCGGCGGCCCCTATGTCCATTTCTCAGTTTCAGATTAAATTTAAAGTATAAGTATAACTTACTAAGCATTGGGTATGAGATTTGCTCGAAGACGTCACAAACTGGTTCTTGATGGTACAGAAGGAAGTGGTCGACAACACCTTCGGTTATACTTATATTCGCGCAAGCAAACTTCCCTGAAAATTTAAACTTTAAATTGAAGTCTGTTTATGAAGTCACCATGCTCTTATATTTCACGAACTTTATCTGCACGGACATTAAGTGGAAGCTGGAGGCCTTAGCGTTCATATTTTTGTCCGTTCAAATATAAAATGTTGTCCGTTTACAGTCCGTCCAAAGTACGTTCAAATTTCCCCTAAGGTACTTACTATCCAGGATATGAATCCCTTTAAAAAGTAAATGCATATTACATTTATGTTCAGAGGTTGTATTGGTGTGATAATACGATTAAGAGGTGCAATATAAATTACAAAGAAAGTTTACCCAACATTCCCCAACTGGAAGACAGTTTCTGGAATAGTTCCTCCGGGAGCACCTTATTGAAATAGGGTGATGTGTATAGGACTTCCCACCTGGTCAAGTTGTGGAATGTTCTGTCGCCCTCCAGCTGGGTCAGTGCGCTTGTTAGGGAAGTTGAGCAAGTATCCAGCTGCTCCCCTGTCTTGTTGTGCTGAGCTGACTCGGTCTGCAGCTCGCGCTCCGTCCTTTCGAGCTCACCTCTCACGGCTCCTAGCTCTTCTAGGGTTGTATTCAGTTTCTCCTCAGTCCTGCTAAGTTGTCCAGTTACATTTGTCAACTTCTCTTCTGCCGCTCTCAGCCGAGCTTCTAATTTATTCTTCCACTCACACATCATAAACTCGCTTACAGATCCACTCCTCGATTGGGACAAAATGTGTTCCCATCGCAGAGCCCTAGTTCCAGAGAATTCATTAAGGTCCATACACAGCCCACCTTCTGCTATTTTCTTTACCTCGACCGAGCTGAGTACATCAGAGAAAATATTAAACTGGTAAATCTGCCCTCCGAAAATGAAACGAGAATCTGTACTGTAAGAAAGTCTATTGAAGAACAGATTTCCTCCCATTTTCAGTGTTCTTCCAGATGGCGTCGTACCTGTGCCTATCAAGTTACCATCCAGATACAGCTTGGTGCTCGTCGAGCCAAGTGACCAAGTAATACAGTAGTGAAACCAGCTCCCGACAGGTGTTGTGAACTCACTTTCCTTACTATTCAAATTTCGATCACCTCCTACATGGTTGTGATGCCCGTTAGAAGTTATCATGATTTCATTGCCTCCATTTACATGGTAGTTCAACACTTGCGGGTAAGGGGCAGAGGTGTCTACACGTTTCATCCAAGTACAGATGGAGAAGGAGTCTTGGAACGGGGCCATATTAAAATTAAATCCAATGTAGTCATTACTGGAGGTACCAAAATGAAGAGCAGTGTACTGTTTTGAGTGCTTATCATCAGAGGCAACAGCAGGCAAGACGATGATGACGATCAACAAGAAAAACATAACTGCGGTTTGCGAGCGGGTATTGAAGCTAATGTTATTACACATAATATATATATATATATATATATCATTTATTTATTAATAGTCAGCCAGCATGTAATTGTATCCTCAGACACTGGCATAATTTTACAGTTAATGACTTCATGTAATTATAGTGTGTGTCAGGTCTCCTTTTAATTCCTTGTTTGTTTAACTTTATTTATAGAACCCGTCCCCAATCTCGCATCGGAAAATGACTAAACTCAGTTCTGAGTGTGAATACGGGTGGTACCTGCAAGTGTGTTTATTAAGCATTTAGAGTTCTGTAAAACTGCAGTTACAATTGTGTTCTAGAGTATTTTTAGTATTTACGATCGATATCACTATCAGATCTCTATCCCTACCGTGCTTCCAAAATTTAAATCTCCAACTTTCTGCACAATGTAGTGGAATGTTTGAAAAATATATATATATACCATATTTAAAATAATTAATTTTAGGAAAGTAAAATTAATTGCCTGGTTTCTCAGGGGCCATCTTAGGACGTCCGGCAAATACAAAATAGGGAGGGTGGTGGTTTTGGAATTCCTGACAAATCCGGACAGGGGGAGGGGGTGGTTTCTGAAAAACTCTTTGACACTAATAGTAGGGGGTCGTTCACATATTACGTAATCAGCTGAGGGGGGGGGGGGGGTTCCGAATGATTGCGCTAGTGTAATTTTGACACAATAGCTATGTGTAAAACTGATTACGGAGGGGGGGGGGGGGGGGGGGTAAAAATGTTCCAAAAAATGATTACGTAATATGTGAACGACCCCTAATAGTAATTACTCAGTAAGTTTAGATCCCTGTATTTTGAATGAGTACTTAAAGTTAAATGTAACTGTGCTTAACTTGTTCGACACTAAATGTATTATTGTCTATTTTAAGTACAACTTGAGTTAGTTTTATTTGTACTCTTAAAAGTAGTTGGAAATCCGTACGTCCGGGGGAGGCGGGGTGGTTTTCAAAATTCGGACACACCCGGACAGGGAGAGGGGGATGGTCTGAAAATCTGCGATTTTGGCGGACGTCCTAAGTACTAGTAGATGGCCCCTTAAAAAGAAGAACTACAATGAGTACTTATGTTGGTTCAAAAAGGGAAAACATGTGGTGGCCCCACGTGTTTAATAAGGTGATGCAGGCACGTGAAAGATCATCGTAGGAGAGGGGACGATAATAAAATGAATAATTTAAGTTGTTCAGTAAAATAGAAATTTGTATTAATTGTATCAGATGCCATCGTGGAGCGAGCGTGCTAAATCACTCTACAGTCGATCTTCGAGATTGTTCTAAAAGTAAAAGGGCTCCCGACAGACACAGTTGAAACCAACTTCAATGTATTTTCGGACGCTGATTCCGAATCACCCCCCATGACATAGGGTTAAAATGCTCCACTGACGAGGTATTGGCGAAAAACTGTCTCGATCACGTGATATGACCGTATAAGGAAGTTAGTCTAATTTCTCGTTAGGGTTAGGGTTTCAGCATATGTTTTTGATAAGGATTGGGTTAGGGTTGGGAATATCAGATTAGAGGGTTAGGGTTTCGAATTGTCGTTCAGGACCAGCTAGAGAACGGGTTGAAAAAGTCACGTGACAGTCGAGTGTAGAGTGATTAATCATCATCCATCGTGGACAGTGGAGTAGGTGGTCTCCTGCACCTTCCCCCCCCCCCCCCCCCCCCCCCCCCATATAATATTAAAAAACCTAGACATGCAACCAGCAACCTGCAATCCAAAAGTGATCGCAGCCCTTACGGAAGACTTAAAGACTATAACTATAAGGTCTTCATGCTTATATAATTAAATGCTTAAATGGTACAACGACAACTTGTAACCCTGCACAAGTTTCCAGTATCGTCATGATGAATCGATATACTTACTGAGCTTGGTGTCATTTGCCATGAGAAAACTAAAAGCTGGGATTGACCGTAAAATTGTATAGAAATAAATGCCCTTCGTAACATTTATTCCTCTGAATTAAAAACAGTGAAAATATGAATAGTGGTGTGGAGTAATTTACTGGGCCGCGCTCAGCCTGTCATTCCGCCTAATCTCTATTCTATATGTTTATGAACATAATAGCCTGAGGTCCCCAGGTAAGGAGTAATATGATGTAAAAAGTGCATAATATCAATGCTCATAAAAGCAAGCATTAACAAAATTATAGAAGAGGCGACCATCACGTGTTGTTGTCACGTGGAAGAAAGCGGAATTAGGGGTCGTTCACATATTAGTATTACGCTATCAGTCGAGGGGGGAAGGGGGTTCCCAAATGATTACGCTGGTGTAATTTTGACACAATAGCTATGTGTAAAACTGATTACGGAAGGGGGGCGGGGGGCAAAATTTGTTCAAAAAGTGATTAGGGGTCGTTCACATATTACGTAATCAATATTTTGGCAATTTTTACCCCCCCCCCCCTCTGTAATCAACCGTAATCAAGACCGAACCCCCCCCCCCCTATATTACGTAATCAAGGTTTGACCCCCCTCCCTTTCAATGAATGAAATTATCGCAAAGCACTTACTAAACGAAAATTTTGATTACATAATTAACGAAAATTGTCCAATTGGTATTTCGAAAATCGGTAAAAAATTAAAATTTTGATTACGAAATCAACGATCAAAACCCCCCTCCCCCCCCCCCCCCCCCCCCCCCCGTAATTAACCGTAAGCATTTGAAACCCCCCCTCGGGTGATACATTTCTCACTCTCCCAGGTGCCCAACTATTACGCTATGTTAATCTAACTCAGAGTCTATGGTTTAAATATAAATATTAAATATAAATAATACTATTCTCACCCACACAGGTGCTGTTTGGCCACTTAGTTGAAAATTGTATTATATATATATATATATTAACATATTATATTTGACCAAAACCCATAATTGGGTAGAGTGGACCGCAGCCAGTGTCTTTCTTTCCCAAACAGAAGTAAATGATATTAATTTGAATGATCGTCTGCAAATGCAAAATGATACCGAGAATGAAATCGGTCGCTCGCTTTTCCCATTCATTCACGCCATGCATCTGTTTATAATTAGTCAAATTCTAGTAACACGGTCACTGGGCAGCCAGTAAGGTTTGGTGGGTGTGCACTGAGACTCAATATGCATATGGTTACTTTTTGATTGTATAAAATCAGGTCCGTAATTTATGAACTATTATTACACATTACTGCCGTTTATTATACTTAAAACGTTATTGGACTGATTTAGGAAGTTGGTCTTTTGTTCCTGGTAAGGGTTTAAAGTATCAAAATGAAGATACGAAATTTAGGAGAAATATTTCCAACTGATAGTGATATTAATCGATTCATTCACATTCCAAAACAAAAATTATTTAATTTAACGTCATGACTCACGTGAAGCAAAATATATCCTTACCTTACAAGACATATTTATGGCGGCCTAATTTGCGACGACCGAAATTTTGGCGGTCCGAAAATATGGCGAAATTGAACAAAAACCGTCAAATTTCGGACGTCACAGAAAATAAGGGTATTTTTCATCATTTTTTGTGACAGTAAGCAGTAAGGAAATTTCTGAAATTCGGTAAAATCATGTTCAAACTTAGTCTGTATTAAGACTTTAAGACTTTCATGTTAGCACATACATGTATTTTAATGCAAATTTAAACTGTATTGCTTGACATTCAATTCGTCATTGGTGTGGTGATAATTTGTCCCAAGATGCCAGAATTTATTTATTTATTTTACTTGATATTACTTTTTAGAAACAAAATAAAGCAGTGAAGGCACAGTCATTGAAATAAGCTAAAAGATAATGCGACGGATTCTATTACGACGACCGAAATTTTGGCGGTCCGAAAATATGGCGAAATTTTCGGAAAACCGCCACATTTCGTACGTTATAAATATGTCTTGTAAGGTAGTTCATTACAAAAATCATAAGCCGTTAATACTAAGATATTATTTAGAGAAAGTTCGCATTATGTCACCAGTGAAGGGCAAGTTTCCACTGGCTAAATAAGTTTTATCTTGTTTTTTTAATTGTTTACTCTTATAACACTATACGAAGCAGTGTATTATAGTTGACCTCATATCATCAATAAGAGTTCATCGAACCGTAATGATTAAGTTAAAGTAATTAAAACCAGAAATTAATCTAATAGATTCTTAACGCTGTTTCGTTGAGTTCATTATAAAAATGTATATCGTTCATAGAATGTTCACATGATGTCACCAGTGAAGTCAGAAATGTCACTAGCTTAATAATCCTCATCTTGAGCAGCGTATTATTGTGTATTTTCCCGGTTTCGTAAATCTGCAGGGAGAGAATAATATGTTAAGGTGACAAACATATCACTTTAAGAAGTGGTGAATATTTGGGTTTTATCAGGTGGTAAATAAAAAGATAGCGTTTTTATTTTTCTAGTGTTAAGGTTTACAATGCCATTAAAAACTTGATCGTTTTTATTTTAACGCCCAAAACCTAAAAATGACAAGGTACCGCGAGAGTTATTGTTGTTCGTTGGTACAGTGATGTTTCTTCAGGTGAGATATTAAGCTATCATCTATGGCATGCCCTTCAAACTCAGCTAGAAGTCCCCATCTTTCCCTCAAATCTTGCATCATGGTGGCAGTCACTTCCTGAAAAAATCTCATTAAAGATAATTTGTAATTTCGCTTATCGGAAGATCAGAAATTGATATATATTTAGATTTCATTGTAAATGCCAGTTTACAATTATGTAAGAACCTTACATTAAAAAGTTCATTTTAAATATAACAACTTGAACTGCTAAACGTAACCTTTCTTACATTATTAAAGAAATCAGAAACACGAAGGATAGCCCAGCGTTTATGACAACCATCAGTCTCATCGGTCACATCAGTCTCATCAGGTCCCTCAGCGGTTGATGGTTCTTCTGTGCCACAGTGATGTTTAATGAGGTGAGCTAAAAGGGCCTCGTCTATCTGGTGACCGTTGAACTCTGCCAGCAGCTCCCATATATCCCTCAAGTTTTGGAGTAGGTCAGTTTCGATTACCTGAAATTATATGTGACTATTTATAATAAGCTAATAAGGTTTATATACTTATATAATATCCAACCCTACAACCTTCATCACAAACCACACCTCATATATTCATTTTGTTGGTATAACAAGATGAAATAAATAAACCCCCGATTAATTATTTAGTAATTACTACAACTCATAAAATTATCTTCACCTTATTATAGAACTCAGACAGTCGGAGGATTGCCCAACGGTTGTTGCAGCCCCCCTCAGATTCTTCTGTTGGCGCAGCTGTTGTAGGTATCCCAGTGGTTGGCTCGTGTGTGTGATCCGGACAGGTCAAGTTTGACTTCACAATGTTTCCATGTTTTTCGGTATCATCAGAAAGTAGCGTCTCCCACGAAAGATGGGTGTCAGTTTCAAGCGTTTCTTCAAAGCTGGAACAGATGCCTGACTTGTACATTTTGGCTACCTCTTGTTCGGTCAGTTCTCGTTTCAGGATGTTCAACTTTGTGATTTCACCTCCGAATGAGTAACCATTCGACCTGAACGAAGCCTCCATCTTGTAGGTGTTATGATATTGTCCGATAACGAGAGAGCCGGTTGTGACAGAGAACTTCCGTCCAGACGACGAAGCAGTCCCAATCTGCACGCCATTGTAGAAGAGGATCTTCTTCCCGCTGCTGTAAGACCAAGTAATGCAAACATGGTACCACTCTGAATGTGCCGGAGTCTGACTCTTTGGTATAGTGTTGCCAGATGTGAGATAAGCCCAGGAAAGGTTATCAGAGATAACGATAACATCACTATGAGTCATAGTCCAGTAGTGAAGCCACGTTCCATAATTAAGAGAAGTGGGACTCAGTTTCTTTATCCAGGCACATATGGACACCTGTTCCTCCAGTGGGGACATGTCCGGGGCAATCATTATATAACTTGAGAGATCATTACCAAATTTTAGAGCAACGTGGGGTTTGTCCGAGATCACAGCTGTCACAAAGAGGAGTATTAGAAGCGAGGTTCTGTACGCAGTCATGTTGTAGGTGGAGGTTGTTCGTAGTGGTCTGGAAGACTTCAGACTTGTTTCCTTTAAAATTTACTTTTGTTAATTCTTTCTTGTGTAATTTCTGTCAGGTAAAATTTGATTGTGTGATGTCTGAGTTGCTCAGTGATTTGAGAGCGTTGTTATCTTAAACAGGGCCCCTTGTTGCTCAGTTTTTATAGCCTTTCTTGACTGCTTAGCGATAGCTCCAATTATTAACAATTATATAAAGGAACATGATATATCATTTATGATTTATTAACTTATCACTGTGAAAATTGCGCACATCCTATTTTTTAAAACTTTGTTTTCGGCTCCATTAAATAAAGTTTACCATTAAACCACCATTACACCGCTCAAAGTATGATGTCATAAAAGCATTTTAGTTTAACTGTAAACTTAGATTAATAAAATAAAAAAATGTTGATGTACGAGCTATTTAATAAGCTCAGCCTGAATTTGATAATAATAAAATAGTTAAAAATTAAAAAGACGCAAAAAGATTGTAAGGATAAAAAGAAGCTAAAAGTCTGCATTGGAGAACTGAGAAATAACGTAAATAAGTAACGTAGAGTCTTTGAAAGAACGGTCAAAAACAAACCACTCAATATAACTGCCAACTTATAATATGAGGCTGTAATTAAATTAAATACTGACGGGCGGCTCCAGTAAGTGTGACAGAAGACATACTACAAATATCTCCATACAACTCCGTCTTATATTCGCATAATACTACAATATTCTAATAGTATTGTCCTTGTAAGAGTTGCTCAACCCTGATAACAATCAGACAGGAGTAACACGACGGTAAAGAAGGTACTTTATGGATGCAGAGAGAGTCACAGACAGGAGAAGTTACAGTGAATAGCTTGTAAGAGGAGGTAGATTGTAGGTTTTATGGGGAGATAAGCAGGGTACCCAGACGATTGTGGAGCAATATTACAATGACAGAAGATATACTACTACAAACATCTCCAGACAACTCTGTCTTATATCCGCATAATACTAAAATATTCTAATATTATCTTAATGTAGCTCGCATTGAGAAATACCACGATCTGTTTTTTTTTCTTGGTTAATTTCTTGTTTTAATACTTTCAACACTATTATATAACAAATAATTTGAATACAAGTTAAGTACATCATGGACGATATGGAATTATTAGAACGTTTGTCAGCTCGCTCTGTGTATGTGACTGAAACGCATCAGGAGTTCCATCTTTGGATTACAGAACTTGAAGAAGCCTCTAACTGTGATGAATCAGAGTTCTCGGCAGAACAATTTGAAAAACCAGGGAAACCGACTAAGAAAGTTATGTCAAAGTTATCAAGTACAGTGTGTACAGAGATATGAAACAATTTGTCAGAGAAGCTGTCAAAATGAAAGAAGATGTGGAGGAGTTGAAGAGCTCTCTTATTCGGTCACAAACTTCGGTGATTAAACTGCAGAGTGAACTTCTTGAGGGCAAATCAAAGCAGTTGGAATCTGTTCAGACCACCGTAAAATCTGCCGTCCAGGAAAGTGTACAAGCTGAGATCAGGTCATCAGTAAAGCTGTTTCGAAGGTCCCGCCGGAAACTGTACTGACATAACGGAGCTTGAAAAAGGTAGTTCAAAGTGCTGTATCGAAAAAGGACCGCAGTAGAAATTTTGTCGTGTTTGGTTTAATGGAGACAGATGATGAAAAACTATTCGATAAAGTAGACGAACTGTTTGAACAAATCGAAGTAAAACCACGCTATGAAGCTGTCAGGATTGGAAGGAGATTAGCCGACAAGACCAGACCTGTCAAAATATCGGTCACAAACACCAACAATGTTCACGAGATATTATTGAAATCAAAGAAACTGAAACTGAGTCAGCACCACAAAACAGTCTTCATTTCTCCAGATCGGTCAACTGAGGAGCAAACCAAACACCGTCTGCTGGTATTGGAAATGAAACAGAAGGCAAAAGACGATTTGAATAGACGCTATTATATCAGAAGTGGTATTATTTTATTTGTTGTGAGGACAAGATCCTAGACTAATTTAAATTTTTTACGACATTGTCATATTCATTTTCATGCTAGTCTTTTTCACTCACCCTTTAGAGCCGCTCTGAGATGGTTAGTAGCTGGCACTTGTGCCGGCTGCTAACCATATGGGCGGGATATAAGCACATTATTTCATTTCATTTCATTTCATAAAAACAGTAAACTGTCAGTGTATAGTCAAAAACTTTATTTCGAAAATTCCTTATCTAAAATATGAAATTAACTTACAAGTAACCCAAGTAAGTAACTGGCCTTGTCCTAGGTGAATGCCAAATAATGACCATTGAATCAAGATCACAGCGCGGTATGTCTTATTTCCCTATCAAAACTAAAAGGGTGACACGTTTGTGCAACATGATGTTTACCTGGACAGTGCTGAATATTGCAGGGTTCACTTTCTGTTCTCATCAGTGTAAACTCCGTCGTGGAATGTGGTGGGGTCTGTGCAGATTCCTAGTGGGGTGGGGTGGGGTCAGTGCAGATTCCTAGTGGGGTGGGGTGGGGTCTGTGCAGATTCCTAGTGGGGTGGGGTGGGGTCTGTGCAGATTCCTAGTGGGGTGGGGTAGGGTCTGTGCAGATTCCTAGTGGGGTGGGGTGGGGTCTGTGCAGATTCCTAGTGGGGTGGGGTGGGGTCTGTGCAGATTCCTAGTGGGGTGGGGTAGGGTCTGTGCAGATTCCTAGTGGGGTGGGGTAGGGTCGGTGCAGGTTCCTAGCTAGTTAGGTCGGTTCAAAAAACCCAAAGTTGCTCCAATCGCTCCCTACCAAAGCTTATTAGTAGATGCCTTGGCTAAAAAACTGCCTTGACAAATTTCGTGGCTCAACTCCATCGGATTGTGCCTCCACAGGCCACGCCCTTATTTTTCGAGGCCCTTATACAGGTAAAATTCTTAAAATTGCCGTTTTTGACCTTTAAATGTCTAGATAGGGCCCTGAAAGCAATGGAGTGTAATATAAATGTGATAAAAAGGTTAACTTTAGTCAAGGTCTCATGTCTCTACGACCTTAGCATCAACATGTCTCCGCGCCTCCATTTTGAGGCGCGGTCGCGTCCCAACCATTGCTCATGGAGACTCGCGTGAACCGTCAATTTGGGGTAGCAAGTGCATATTAGTGGGGGTAGAAACACTTAATTTTGCTCCAAAGTAGTTAAATTAGTGATTTTGAGACAATTGATATAAAGCTCAAAGCTGTTTGATGGGAAATACCAAAATAAATGAGAATAACAAACAATTGGATAAGTTCTATAATGAGAAGTACGTACGGTACTGGGCTTAAAGTACGTACGGTACAGCAACTTTTAAAGGTACGAAATACTGGTAATTTATGGACGTTCCTTAAACCTTTTTCTAGAACAAGTGACGAAAAAATTTAGGACTATGGTCCTCAACGATTTGAACAAGTTCTTTAAAGGATGATTCAGTTATAGTGATCATAGAATTGTAATCAGTCATCGGGCGATTGCCCGTTTGTGAATCATTTTGTTGACGATATAATGTTTAAGCAATTTTAATTTATTATAGTCGGCTTTCAGAGGCAACCTGTCTCCTTTCGAAAAGTCCGTCGAGACACAAACCAGTCGTTTAGAACGTCGTGAATCTTGTCTCCCAACAAAGTCGGCAAGGTTGATGGTCTATTGTGGGGCTCCTGGCTTCTCTGATGCGATGACTCCAGCATTAGAGGTTTTCTTAAGAATAGCTGTAGCTAGCGATTCCTCGTTGCAATACGCAAGCTGTGTCAAATAGGGCGAGGTGATGTTTTCTATGGGTTAAAGTACCACAGGGACAAAAGGATTTCGCGTTTATTTTGGCCAACATCGCGGGCCACGACATGCCAAACTAGGCTAATTAGCGGCTATTCGCGGCGGGAAATTTTGAAATATCGCGGCATAATTCGCGGCAAAAACATCGAAAATCGCGGCGAATTCGCGCCAAAAAAAAATGTATTTTACAGTGCTTAGTTAGAGTTCACTATCTTTGACTATTCTATTTGATCGGCTACTGTCCATGAGGATGTGGCTCTCATCCTCTGATTCTGTCCCGGCTGCTGGGGGTCTACAACAAGAGCTACCATAACTTTGACATGATCTCAAATGTTGCATGTCATACGTACTGTAGAGTAACTCGTTATCGATACTTCTACGTTCAACAGACGACAGGAGACATCATAATTCGACCATTCTCAAATTCACACAACGTTAGCAATGGAAATACTACGAAATTTCAATCTATTCACATTTCCCTACCTAGTCTATCCCCAATAAACCCTTCTAGATCGAACCTTCCCTTGAAGCTTATATCAACTTGGCGAATCCTCTTAACTGCACGAACCTTCTAGAAGTTTTAAACCACATCCCGGGGGAAAGCCAATGATTGTTCACGAAGACAACTATTTCAGGCAACGTCGAGGCTGAAAAACAACATTAGTTACAGATGTAACCTATAGCACGCGAGGAATGGAGTTGTCTGCTACCCAATACCACAGACAAGAACAGCAAGTCTTCTTTTTAAGTTTCAACGGGACCCAAACATCTTGGACAGAAGCCTTATGCACTTAGCAGTCTAGAGACACATAGGAAAATACATCGGGCTGCACGGTCACTTACCCGCCGATATCACGAAACTGTTAGAGCCTCTGGCAAAACAGAGCTTGGAGTAACTGTCGCAAACTTTTCGGCATACAAACTCTAGGATTTGAAAAAAAGACACCGAAAAATTGCCTCTGAACCGGTTAGCTTGCCGCTAAAGACCAGGAACCAGAACCAAGAACCAGAACCAGAACCAGAACCAGAACCAGAACCAGAACCAGAACCAAGAACCAGCACCGAAACCAGAACCCAGAACCAAGACCAGAACAGAACCAGAACGAACCAGGATCAGAACCAGAACCAGACCAGAACCAGAACCAGACCAGAACCAGAACAGACCCCGGAACCAGAAGAACCAGAACCAGAACCGACCAGAACAGAAACCCCAGAACCAGAGTCTCCCGAAGCCACGGTCAACTCACTAAAAAAATATCTTAGTTATGATTAAATTAAGATATTGTTGAATGGTGTTACAATTGCTGTATACGTACTTTACATTATATCTTTGAACAATTTATCATATAACAATACGTAAATTCTTATTAACTATTTAAACTATTTATCTATAAAACAACAACTTCATACAGATAAACAGATTACAGATTGTTCATATAGACAATTAAAGGGTCGCATATTATGATCTCAGTGTAGAGTCCGCATGTTTGTCTGAGCTTAGTCATCACTCTGGGAGTAAGATGAAAGCTAAGTTCCACCTGCAGAGTGGCTATGTATTGAGATAGAAAGGATGGCCGCTTTGGTAAGCACTGGCACCTAACAGTCGTTTTGCCAGTAGCACAAGTGTACTAGAAGGTGATAAGCTTCCTACTTAATCATGTATAGTTTGTTTGGCACTTACAGGGCGGATTTTAGAAGAGGATTCATCTGCAGTCACATATGGGAGGTCCAACTTCAGCAGGCCTGTTTGGGGTCCAGGAAGGGGGTTTTTAAAGAAGTTGAGTCCTTTGTGGAGAGTATGTCGTGAGGTGACCCGTCCCCCTCAGGCTACTCCTCATATTGCTCAGAATGTCTTTCCAATGTCTTCCACTCTTGTGGGATCCTTGGGGATTCTGCTCTGTTCTTCATTAAAAGCTACAAATCTGACAGTTTTTCTTTGAAGGTGGGTGGTTTATGACGCTAGTGCTCTGGCATTCATAGCCTCAATTCAGGTTGGTACTATGATCCAAGGTACTGGCAATTCCTTTTCCAATGTTCCGTCGGAGTTCTCTAGAGAAACAGAATAGACTGAGTGTGTTAGCAGCTAAGTATTCCTTGTGCATAGCACGCTGCAGCCCATGGAGTGATACCAAGTCGTGTCTTTGTACGATTTTTGGTACACAACACAGGTAGCTACTTTTCTTATCTATCTTCTAAGGCAATCAGGTAGGTCTCTGTGAAATGAGTCAATAGTTTAAGTGCAATTAGTGCTGTGTTCACAATTAAACACTAAACATCAAATACATTTAATGAAATGATCATCAATAAAAAAATAAACCGTTTGATACATGTAGAATATATAAAATAAAGATTTCATTGAAACAAGTTATTATGTTGAAATACCAAATCAGACAGGACCCACTGGAGGGGGAGACAACCGGGACACCAGGAGGGGGAAGAACAGCGACCACCAGGAGGGGAGAACAGGACCACCATGAGAGGGAGAACGGGACCACAGGAGGGGGAGAACGGGACACCAGGAGGGGGAGGAGAACCAGGGACCCAGGAGGGGAGAACCAGGACACCAGGAGGGGGAAGAACCAGGAACCAGGAGGGGGAGAACGGGGACCACAGGAGGGAGGAGAACCAGGACCACCAGGCGGGGAGAACCAGGACCACAGGAGAGGGAAGAACAGGACCCCCAGGAGGGGGGGCACCGGGACCACAGGAGGGGGAGAACAGGACCCCACCAGGAGGGGAACCAGGACCACCAGGAGGGGGAGAACCAGGCACCACCAGGAGGGGGAGAACCGGGACACAAGGAGGGGGAGGAGACCCAGGCACCAGGGAGGGGGAGAACAGGTCACAGGAGGGGAGAACCTGGGACCACCGGGGGGGCGAAAAAAAGACAGGACCACCAGGAGGGGAGAACCAGGGACACCAGGAGGGCGGAGGAACCAGGACCACCAGGAGGGGGAGAACCAGGACCACAGGCGTGGGAGAACCAGGCCCACCGGAGAGGGAGAAAGGGAACCCGGGAGAGGAGACGAGGACCACAGGAGTGGGAGAACCGACCACCTGGATGAGGCGAGAAACCAGGACCCCAGGAGGGGGCGCACCAGGGACACCAGGAGGGGTGAGAACGGGACCACAGGAGGGGGGGGAACCAGGACCTCCAAGGGGGAGACCCGGCCCCACCAGGAGGGGGAGAAGAGAACCAGGAAACCGAGGGGGAGAACAGGACCACAGGAGGGGGAGTACCCGGACACCAGGAGGGGAAGAACCGGGGACCACCAGGAGGGGGAACCGGGCCACCAGGAGGGGGAGAACCAGGACCACAGGGGGGGGAGACCAGGGACCACCAGGAGAGGGAGAGAACGGGACCACCAGGCGGGGAGCACAGGGTCACCAGGAGGGGGAGAACCAGTGACCACCAGGCGGGGGGCGAAGTGAACGGGACCACCAGGAGGGGGAGAACCAGGACCACAGGAGAGGGGAGATTCGGACCCACCAGGAAGAGGGAGACGGGACACCAGGACGGAAGGGAGAACCCGGACACCAGGAGGGGGGGAACAGGGACACCAGGAGGGGAGAAACCAGGTCCACAGAGGGGAGAACCAGGACACCAGGAGGGGGAGAACAGGACCCAAGGGAGGGGGGAAGAAGGACACCTCGGAGGGGAGACAGGACCACCAGGAGGGGGAGAACCAGGACCACCAGTCGGGGGGCGCCGGGACACAGGAGGGGGAGAACAGGACACCAGGAGGGGAGAACCAGGGACCACCAGGAGGGGGAGAACCAGGCCCCAGGAGGGGGGACCAGGACCACAGGAGGGGGAGACCCGGACAAGGAGTGGGAGAACCAGGACCCCCGGAGAGGGGAAGACACAGGAACCAACCGGGGGTAGAACCAGGGGACCCCCAGGTGCGGGAGAACCTGCGGACACAGGAGAGGGAGAACAGGACACCAGGAGGGGGGGAACGGGACCACAGGAAGGGGGAGAACCCGACACCAGGAGGGGGAGAAACAGGACCACAAGGAGGGGGTGGAGAACCAGACCCAGGCGGGGGCGAACCGGGGGACCACCAGAGAGGGGGAGAACAGGACACCAGGAGGGGGAGAAACCGGGACCACCGGAGGGGGAGAACCGGTCCCCGAGAGGGAGAACGGGACCACCAGGAGAGGGATAAAACAGGAGCACCAGGAGGGGGAGAAACCTGGACACCGGGGGGAGAAGCGAACCAGCGACCACCAGGAGCGGGAGAACAGGACCACCAGGAGAGGGAGAACCGGGGGAACACTTGTCGGGCTTTTGGATATGCCCGTTCTTTCGATAAGGAACAATCGACTCATTTTCGATATTGTGTTTTACTCAGTTTTAGCCCTCTATGATAATCGGGTCGCGGAAACTACCACACTAATCGTAGAGATTTCCCCCTACTTATAAGTGTACCGTTAATTTTTTGTACATTATAAAGGATGGAAAACCACTACATGGGAACATCAAAAGACATATAATGTGGAAAACTTCAACCACGCAGCTGATATGACTCGGGACTATGTGTTGTTCTGGGTTCCTCTCGGGACGATGGGAAAGATTGTGAGCTTGCTTTTATTTAAGGCTAAGAAGAGACATCTCAGCGTCATCTATATGGCTAACGGCAATTTGATATAGTCGTCGTGTGTAGTAGTCCCCGGAGGATTTCGTTTTTGTCAGGTAGACGTCCAGGATCGTCTTCCGGTCGCGCCTGAGTGTAAAGCTGGTATTAATAAGGACTATAGCAGTTTTATATAGTATTTCTTAGTGCTATGCTTGTTATAACTCGGACAGTGTCACTGATGAGACCATACCAACAACAGAATATATAGAATATTGCTCATAGCTATAGTATCGTATTGTTTCTATATTGGCTTTTGACATTGGAACCATATCAAGGACGGGGAGAATTACATTTCCTTGGTTGTCCACGCTGTACCTTTGATGCATTCAGATGGGACTGTGATTCATTATCCTGCGAGATCATAAGTAGCTTATTTGTCATAGCTCAGTGGTTCGTAGTTGCAACAAGCTGTATCATATCAGCTGTGTTGCTAACAAGAAGAAAATAATTTAGCACAGGGCCTGAGTGCAAAAATCCGAAACAGGGCGACAAGTAACGATTTAATGTTTGCTCTTTTGTATGGAGTGTTGCAATGTTCCCCTTGTCTTTACATATATCTTTCTTAGATACGCCATACCACTGCTCGGATGGAGTGGTTCTATAATTTGTACCAGTATGATACCAGTTGTCTACCAGAAGCCATGATTACTGTACTCATAGCAGTGGAACCGAAGCCACCAATCTATACTTTTGGAGATGCCTGTTGCTGATGAGAATTCATCAGAGGGTTATTGAGACTGAACAGAGAAAATAGGAGGCACTCCAAACAACGTCAACCGCAAGTGAGAATAATAGCAACCGCAAATTCAGACACAGTTTTAAATCAAAGACCACGTGTTAAAAAGAATTAACTGTGTATCACATTTTAAGTTCCCTTTACACTACGTACAGTCTGTACACTGACGGTGTACTAATCACTGGATATACTTATTGTGGATCTATCTCATTATTTAATACGAAAAAAAATTTCTGTCAAACATAACCATTATTAAAAATTATTCAACCAGCATAATATGGGTATCATGATTCACTAAAAAAAATATCAATTTTATGATCTAGCGACGTTATTTTAAACAAATTAATAACACGCACTATTAGCATGTATATGTTATGAAAATATAGAATTACAATAATTGTAGAACAATTTACCGTCAGATTTGCAACCCAAGTCTACTTCTTATGTTCTTTGGAATACCTTCACAATTGTCAATAATACCTCTCAATTTGTCTCCCCCAAACCAAAATCAGATCCCTCACTTATGAACTTACATATATTGAGTAATTAAGTAAGGAATGACCTGCATTCATTCAGATCATAAGTATATTCATATAGACTCCTTAGTTCCCCCTAGTTCTCACAAAAAATACTAATTGCAAAATCACTTCAAGGTCGGCGAATACTTCGTAACTAGTCGCATAGAGACAAAACACGACATTGCTCATCGACGTCCAAGATTATTTCATTAATTCTTCCTGGAAAAAATGTGGTGGAACTTGTAACAGTATCAATCCAAGCTTTTCGATTAATAAAAAGCGGATAATCTATCATAAAACTAACGATAAATAGCTACAAATATCCTTGTGTTAAATTGTAGGTTGTCCAAAAATCGATTATCGATAGAAAAGTTAACGATCGATAAGTTCGGTGATCTTGAGGGTTACTTTGATATCATAAAATATAGTATTGGGTAACTAATATTGAAATGTAAAAACGTTTGTAAATTAATATCAAACTCCAAGTCATAACTTCTGTAGATCTATCCCCTTCGCTTTTGACGGGGTCGCAGGAACCTGTTGTTCTTGCGGTGGTGGAGGGCCGCCCCCGCTTCTGTTATAAGGGGGTCCTCCGCATCATTCCCTGTCCGGAATATGGCGGCATTAGGTCTGACTGAAGTTAATCAGATGTAGATTCCCTTTTTTGAGCGGTTATAAGGAACTTAAGTAGGAAATTACACGCATCCTTATATGGTCCAAATTAGGGGGAAATCGGCGCGAAACCCTAAAGGTTGAGGAGATATCTGTATAGGCAAATTGCAAGGCGCCGTTACATAAAATCACAAAGAAACTGCGACGTCAGAAGGACTTTCGTCGAAACTGTCCAAATTGAGGGTCAAAACCCAAAGACTCAAGTGTTTTAGTAAATAACATAGAATAATAACGATTTCTCCAGATCTGAACATCATTTTATTCCAGATGTAGTTATAAGCGGAAATCTGTGGCAGTTTGGTCGCACCATTTCTAACACAAATACGAAACCACATGCCACTGCATAAATTTTACCGATGGCGATTTGACATTTGATTATGAATGAATTCTACAAAGACCCTTTCCAGATTAATTCTAGTAAAATTGATCCATACGAATTACACGATATTTCTTACCCTCAAATAGATATTTACACACGATACAGGTCAACAGCCTCAACTCTCCAACAAAAAGTTTAGACGAAAATTCTTATAATTCTGAACTTGAGATGTTTAGCCTTGGTACCAAATATTGTACCTTGTACAGTTTGATACAAAAAGTTTAACTCGCTTCGCGGTTTCGACTGTTCCCATGGCCTTGCTAACCTGCTATGGTCCCATGGAAGAAGGATGCATATGTCCCTGATTGGATACAAAGGAGGAGTGCCAGGACGAGGCCCCACTAGGATGACCAATGTTGAGGGAACGCTGGAGGTCCCTGAGGGGGAGGATGAGATTGAGGAGGCTGAGTTGAGGAGGGTGAGAAGTTAGGGTGAGAGGGTGGAGATGGAGGGGGGAGGGTGGGTGGATGGGGGGTCCAGGTGGTTCTGTTGGGCCCCATGTGTGAGGCGGAGGGTGTTGTGGGCCTTCCTGGACACTCTCAAATAGCATAGCGTTATTTTAGTCTTCCGTGTTTACGCCGGGGGATATCATTTGTATAAATAATTACATAAAGTGAGTAAGTATGTATACAACCTGAACCACTATTCTAACAATACCTATGAAACGCCTACAGCTTCTTACATATCAGGCCACAAAATCTCGAAAAGAAAACCGTTTCAAGTTATGAAATAAGTAATCAGGATTATATTACCGTTAATACTGTGTATTAGGCTGATACGGGTGCTGAGGAGGAGTAGGTAGGGGGCCCAGTAGGAGGAAGCACCAGGATGAGGAGTCGGCCCAGAGGGGGTACAGGGCGTGTTGAGGTGGTGTGGGGCCTGTAGTGGAGGGTTGAGCTCGTCGCACTTCCTGTATCATCTCGCGGTTGGGGGTGGCGGGAAGTTGATCACTCCACCGTGTTTTACTTTTATATAGCTCTTTGTAGAATTGTTGTCGTTCGTTGATTCAGCTGCTGTCGCTGAAGCTCTGCTGTAATGGGGAAGTAGTGAAAAATATAATGTAGACTGAGGAATTAATCATAACGATGTGACTTAAACTGGTTTATCTTATCTTAACTATTCCTTATTTAGGTTTATGACAAGTTTACATCTTCATAAACTGTCAAATCAACAATATTAATATACACCCTTTTTTAAATAAGTAATAACTAGGATTAAATATCTTAATCCATCATCAAAGATTGTACAGTATGAATATCAGACCATTTAAGTGTTTTTCTACGATCCAATTCAGAATTTTGACACTAACTGCAAAGGAAAAAGGTGCAGGGCAGAACTTATCTATAGATCACATTTAAGAGATTTCTTTCGATCACAGGCCTTCTTTGAAAACGACAAAAAGGAGCCGGGCCCGAACAGGCAGTCCGAAAGAAATAAAAACTACAAACAGACAGTATAATGGTCAACATCAATCTGACATATTTTGTTCCTTCTAGTACCCTGAACCTCTTGATTTGGATTTAAGTAACACGATCTTAGTTCGGAAATTTAATTCAAATGCATAGCATGAGTATATAAAAGAAAATCTTCAGATAACTGCAAACTGATTGACAAACTAAACCATCCCTCATCAGAGTGGTAGTCATGACAGGACCATGTTACTTTGATATTAAGTAAAGCTAACATCTTTCGCTAGGCTAGAGTCCTTAAACGAAGTAAATGTCGGGTAGCTAAATATAAACAAGTGTAGACAACTGGACGATTTTTAAAAAATGTCGTACGAGCAATCGAAAAGGTCATCAAAATATATCTTAACTACAGGAACAACATAAACATGAAGGAGGAACCGATGTTACTGTGCAGTGTGATATCACGAGGTGCAGTGAGCAGCACATCACTGATGACACTCATATCGCTCGATTTTACAATCCAATAATCAAATTTTACAATCTAACTCAGCGCGCGGCTCCTCTAGCTAATACGTTACTTTTCTCCAATTGGCAGTTTGCGTGCACGTGTCTTTTCTGAGGCCCCAATTGGTTCTAAATGATCACGTGAATGCTGGTCACGCGCACATCAACTTCCATTGAGCGTACTGCCATTTTTTCTGAGGCGATGGAGGTCGTAAATCACTCAGCCCGAATAAAGATTTGGCGGAATGACAGGCTGAGCGCGGCCCAGTAAAAACAAGCGTGCCCATCGTAGCACGATGCACTATTGAACCACACCGCGCATCCAATAATGCTTCTCGCTAGATCGGCTAAATGAATTGACGGATGTTACTCGTCTAAATTTCTTCGAAGTAGCGCGCGCCGCTTTCTTCTCGAAATATGGCCCGAGGGCCGAGGCATATTACTGGGCGCCGGGCGGCGCTTTGTAAATTTATAACCTACCAAGACGCGCGCCGAGTTTGGATTTGGACACGTTGCCATACCAGTCTTGAAACAAATATTTTACAAGTATCACCCGTTAAAGCGGCAG